CCTGCGTCTGAGTTGCAGATTGCCAGGACAGCTTGGGTTAGGTAAGTACCTGATCAGCTATGGCTTGAGATGTTGTATCAAAAAATGCAGACATGGCTGCCAGGGGCCACTGTGTAAGGAGGGTTAGGAGGGGTCATTTGCCAAAGGAGTGTGGCAGGCTGGGCAGCCACCTTAAAACATGCTTACAACTGACACTTTGGTCTAAATTAAAGAGTTAACATAATTTAGGTGATAAATACCTGGTAACTTTTTTTCAAATGGTAAGTGGGATAGCACTTCAGCTAAGCATGGCTTTTCTAATAGTTTTATACACTGATTTAATAATTTGGGAGAGAAAAGCTCCTTTTTGTAAAAAAAAAAAAAAGGTACCATTTATCTGAAATTGTAACTTACATATGTAATATACTGAAGTATTTTCTCTCATTGACTTAAATAAGCTAGGCCTATCATTCTGGGTATTTACAAGGCTGGTGCACTCATGCACAGGTATATGTTTTACATTGTTATATGTGTGCTTCACCAACTTTATCTGCATGTTATATAACTCCTGCAAGGTACATTAGAGTGTATTTCGTACTTCCAGCATTATCACACAGACACGTTTCCCAAGGAAATCCTCCAAAAATGGATTTTAATTAAGTAAGCCTTTCTTCTTCTCAGGCTCCCAAAATATTTAATTAAATCAAATTTTCTGAATTTCAGAAACACTTTTAATTCTTTTACCAATTATTTCTGAGTATATTTTACAAAAATTCCTTTACAAATATTTCTGAGATAAAAGAAAGTCACGGAGGCCCAGTATAGCTGAAGACAAATGATAAAGTAAACTCAAAACATGGTATGAAAACTAAGCTTAGAAGAGAATCTCTATATGATCAATTGCCTACATCATGTTTAAGATCTTTTTTCCTTCCTTGTCTTTCCCTCTCTGTGTTCTCACTGGGTCTGTCCAAATGCCATACTCCCTTTTTTTTTTTTTTCCCCTGATTCACTTTCATTACTTGTGATGATATTTTCTCTTTTATGTCTCTGGAAAATATTTGAACAGCATTTGTAATGTGAGGCATGCTCATGTGTTTCTGGGTGAAACCTCTGAGACAACAGTCCAATATGTTTATGCAGAACAGATATTGAATGTTCCACAGATTTTTAAAAATACAAATGTACTGCCCTCATTTTTTGTCTTAACTTATCCTTTTCATGAGATATTTGAAGCAAATAAAAACAGAAAGAAATAAAAGCTTCAAAACAGCAGTCCAGTCATGTGGTGGATTTTTTTCAAATTGATCATGTGTCATTGCCTTGATGAGGCTAGACAGAGTGAAGTGTGTAGGTGTTTCTGATATTTTTATAATGTTCTGGATTTGGATAACATTTCTTTATCCTATTTATTGGGAAAATAACTTGGTCTCAGGTTATTTAAGTTATTTTTTGTGATAATATTACTAAATGGGGATAAAATGCCATGGGAAATTTCTTAATCCATGGTCATTTTCATTTTCAGTATGTTTCTATTTTATTTGTTGTTCTCTCATAGAGGGGCAGTGAGGTGAAGAATTTATTCTGATTTGGGAAGACCTGAATTTTTCTATCATTTATGCAAATGAATGAGGTTGAGGGCAAGCCCTTTGGATCAATCATGCTTTACAAACACAAACTTTGAGAATCTAATGCTAAAACAAAGGCTTGCTTTTGAAAGTTTTAAGTGACTGTATTTCTTGGTAACCCTCTCTTCACACACCTACATGCAAACTAACACAGTGAGTTTCTTTTCAGACTTTGCCTTCATTATAGTTACATCACTTGTATAGTCTGTCCAGTCTGGACATGGCACATCTGATACTATATGAAGTCAAAATCAATTAAAGCTTATTGTGCTGTCAGTTGATATTTTCTTTATGCAAGATTTGTTTAAAACCACAATGTCAGGAATGAATGTTAAATTAAATGTGTATATTTTGCATAATCACACTATTTGCCACTAACATAAGCTCTTCATACAGAAAGAATTCACAGGATGTAAGTCTCCCATGCGTTGAAGTGTATCTGTAGGAAGAGCGACAAATTTGCAAACAAGAGGAGAGAAAGAGAGAGAAAGAATAGGCATCAAATTTTGAGCGTAAATATTTTACAGTAATGCTTTAAATAGGACAAAGATATTATAAATCCAGGTAGTATCATTATAGCAGAAAAACAAAAACAAAAATGAAAAGCAGAAATAGGCAGAGATCGACAGAAACCCAGTGGATAGAAGTATTTCATTCCCTCAGAGGTTTGAAGAGAAGGGTAAGGGAGAAGTAGACATAAAGAAGTATGAAAGGGAGGATGTGAAAAAGATAGGGAGCCTCCATTTCATTAGGAAATTCCCCATGGCATTTTACCCCCTTTAGTAATATTATCACAAAAAATAACTTAAATTTCACGAATGGGAGGGTGGGGTTCTTCCCTGCTCTTCTGGATCTTCAGGAAATTGAGAAAAGAAAGGAAACCAGATGGCCCTTTCCCTCACCCTCCACATCCATCACCAAATTCCATCAGATCCATTGGAGAATACTGCTCATGGCTGCCCCTTTTGCCCCACCTTGTGCCCACAATACCAGTCCTCCCTGGCACAGGGTGGCTCTCCACCAATTCATCACCTCCACCCTGGATTCCTGCAGGCACCTCCCAGCTAGGCTGTCGGTCCTACCACCCCAGTCTGTTCTGCACCTAGAAGCGCCACTCGTTTTCCAAAAACAGTATCTACTCTTGCCATCTCCATCTTTTGTCTTCAAAGTAATATTCACATTCCTTATCCCAGCTTTGAAAACTCTTTCCACTTTTTCCATGCCCACCTCTCCAGCCTCCTTCTTCGATTGGAGTGAGGGGAGGCAGGAGAGTTATATCTTTATCCATAGTTCTGACACTAGCTGCATCTCCTTGATCACACCATACTGTCCTCAAATTTCTGTACTTCCCTACTCACTGCTCCTACAGTCCACTATAGTCTCCCTGACTTCCCCTCCACCTTCTACCCCTAGGTGTCACTTAGTTCAGACAACTCCCCTGAAGTCCTAGTCCCCAGATGCAATTTAACTTGTCAGAGGAAGGAGAGGATCCATTGAAGAACTTCTTATGGGCAGAATAAAAATGGAAGTATGTTGAAGTCCACCCCCACATGTGGACATTCTCTTTGTCTGGCTCACTCTTTTCCTCTTTTGGATCAATTGCATTTACAGAAGAAGGCATTTGAGTAGACCTCAACCCATGGGGGGATAAGCATCCAGGTGGCTTTCTGCCATTGCCCCCACCAGACATCAGCCAGTTGCCCAGGGTTCAGTCAGCATTTCCTGATGAGCTGCAGCAATTTACCCCATGGAGCGTCTCGGGGACTAAGAGCACAGACCTCCACCCTCAGCCTGACAACCTGTCTCTGTGTTGAAAAACAGTTCAAGGTAGCACTTGAGACCAAACGTGTCATTTTCCTTGTCAAAATGAAAGCTGTAAATTTTAAACCTAATGCTTAATGTATCCAGATATTGAACACAGGGACTTTTATCCTCAGCTTAATGGTCTGTCTAAAAACATCAAAAAAGATTACTTAAAAACTCTGGGCCTCAGAGGTCCTATAAAATTACATGAAGCACCCCCCGCCCCGCCACCATCATCTCCTCCAAGTTTTAAAAAATGTATTGAAAAACACTTGTGCAATAGATGAACTCCTTTTTTCTTAGCCTTAGATACTAATACTATGTACTTGATTACTGGGCGGTGGTTAAGAAAAGCAATAGGATAAGCTGAAATATTATTAGATGACAATCTAAAATTTTAATAGCATTCATGCTCCTGGGAAAGGATGGCTAACTTTATTCAGCATATTCTTGAACAGGAAAAACGTAAAAGTGTGACTTTCTGTCTTTAATATAATGCAACAATAAAGAAGAGCAGCATTTAAAAATTTTTTTAAGGTCGGGCGCGGTGGCTCACGCCTGTAATCCCAGCACTTTGGGAGGCCGAGGCAGGCGAATCACAAGGTCAGGAGATCGAGACCACGGTGAAACCCTGTCTCTACTAAAAATACAAAAAATGAGCCGGGCAAGGTGGCGGGCACCTGTAGTCCCAGCTACTCGGGAGGCTGGGGCAGGAGAATGGCCTGAACCCAGGAGGCGGAGCTTGCAGTGAGCCAGGATCGCGCCACTGCACTCCAGCTTGGGCGACAGAGCAAGACTCCGTCTCAAAAAAAAAAAAAAAAAAAATTTTTTTTTAAAATATCAGATATCGTAGAGACCTGAGTGGAATAGAAAGATGGAAGAAGGCACATGAAAGAAGTAGAGAGATAGATGCAATTATTTTCTCCAATAAAAGGAAACTCGAGTTAAGAGGTAAAGGGGAATTGCAAGATTTTAGGGATGAGGAAGTTATAACGCTGGACCCTAAGAGTCTTGTCAAAAACTCAACCACAAGTACACATTAATCTGAGACCTTAAAAATCCACCCATAGCCAGAGTATCCATGGTCAGTTATATGGCACAGTTGGCTTCCCAGGTCTTACTGCCATCACTGCAAAAATTTTTTGCTGGCACAAACAGAATCCTCATTGCCTCTAGGCTATAAAAAACAGTGGTGTTTAGTCTTGTTGTTTAGTTTTGCTTACAGTCATTATTTTTCTATCCAGAGAAAATTGTGAACCAGAAAGTTTAGAAGATCAAGACTCTTTTCAGCTGTGATATGAAATCTGACTTGATTCTGTACACTGGTGCCTATTCTAGAGAACAGAGTTGCTAATTAGGAGGACACAATGTTCGGGAAAATGACAAGCTTCCAAGTGCCTCCTGAATTCAAAATTTCCAACATCTTTAAAGCACTATAGATTCACAGATGGTAATAGTATCATTTGCTTTACTCGCCTTAAGAGTGCTCTCTGATGTATCTGTTTCTGACATAAAAATAACTCTATTACAGGTCCCACATTTAACAGTCTTAATTTAATGCCCTAACATTTTGGTGCATGTCTGGCTTACCTGCAGCAGCCTCATTAAGAATGACTCCTGGGCGAACGCAGCATCTAATGGGTTAATGAGGCTGGGCAGCCTCAGCCTGTTAGCAGCTGCTTAAGCAGCAGGCTGGGGAAAGCTCTGTTGATTTTCATTCTTCACTGCTGAGTGATGAAGGGCAACCTATATGCGAGAAATCTAGTCAGGCCACAACCTGTACTCACATACAAAAAAAAAAAAAAAAAAATGCAATTCAATTCATGCCCCAGGTCAACAATTCCTCCATGATCTCTGATATAAGGGGAAGGTCAATGCATTTACAGTATCTATGGGGCTAAAATCAGGAGATTTGGGAGGTTAGCCACTATTTTGATTCTCTTCTACTGCAGAAAATCAGGACTCTAGGAGCTGATCTAGAATCCAAATAGGTCTTTGAGCAGTGATGTATGTCCCAATTAATGCTATGGACACCTTCAGCAATGATATTTCTTAGCTGATCATTTTGGATCTCTGAACTCATTTTGGGATACAGATTCCCAAATTCTATTTCTAACCAAAGACAGTGCTCTACTGTCTAACAAAAATATATGTTCAGTGAAGAAATTTTAATGTTTCATATTGAATAAATTGAAGTATAAAATAAATGTGATATTTTAATTAAATAAATTGAAATGAGTCCTTCGAATAGTGGTCCTTTGTTCATTCAATACACCTGAAACATCTCCTTTGGTTTGGCTTCACTGAGTAAAAGAATCTCCTGGAGAGCTTGTTAAAACACAGATTCCTGGCCAGGTGCAGTGGCTCACGTCTATAATCATAGCATTTGGGAGGCCGAGGCAGGAGGATCACTTGAGCCCAGGAGTTCAAAAACAGCCTGGGCAACACAGAGAGATCCCGTCTCTACAAATAAAAAATTAGCTACGCATGGTGGTGCATGCCTGTGGTCCCTGCTACTTGGGAGCTTGAGGTGGGAGGAGCACTTGAGCCTGGGAAGTTGAGGCTGCAGTGAGTTATGATTGTGCCACTGCACTTCAGCCCGGGTGACAGAGAGAGACCCTGTCTCAAAAAACAAAACACAGATTCCTGAGATCCACCTCCAGAGTTTCTTATTTAGTGGGTTTGAGTGGAGTCTGAGTGCTTATATTTCTAAAGAGCTCCCAGCCCACACCTGCTACAGGTCCACAGACCACACTTTGAAAAGCGCTGTTCTAGGCTCCCACTTTCTTAATGTTCTTCTTGCTCTGTGTCTTTGCTGGGTTTTTCTTTTCCTCATGACATCTAACTTGGCATGCACTAAGGCTCCACACCTCTTCTCCCTTTCCTCCCAAGTTATCTCATTCAGTCCCATGACGCTACATGATATCGCTAAACTGATAAAACCTGATTTTGTCCCTAAATTCATGATTGTACATTTACAGTCATCCCTCCCTTGTCTACATTACATTCCAAGACCCCCAGTGGATACCTGAAACCAGTGCCAAACCCTACATACACTACGTTTTTTCCTATATGTACAATACATATGATAAAGTTTAATTTATAAATTAGGCACAATAAGAGATTAATGACAATAATTAATAAAATAGGACAATTATGACAACATACTGTAAGAGAAGTTATGTGAATATGGTCTCTCTCTCTCTCTCTCTCTCAAAATATCTTATTGTACTGTGCTGTGGATAACTGGAAAGTAAAACCATGGATAAGGGGGGACTACTGTACTTGCCCCTCAATATCTCCTGACCCTTCTTTAAACTCCCAAAACTGATCCTCTCCAGTGTTCCCCAACTCAGCAAATGGTACCAGCACTTAGGAAGTTGCTCAGGCAAAATCCTTAGTCATCCTTAACTCCTCCCTTCTTCTCATCCCCCTCCAACCCATCAGCAAGCCTTGTTGGCTCTCCTTCAAAATACAGCCAGAATCTGGCCATGTCTTTCTAGCTACTCTGGCAAAGCCACCATCATCTCTTGCCTGGATTATTGTAATCATTTCCCAGATGAGCTCCTGATTAGCTCCCTTATCTCCCACCTTGCTACCTTTACAGAGCAAACAGCAATTCTTTAAGGTGCAAGTCAGTTCTCCCACTTGTCTCCACTAAGCCCTCTCCAGATAATTCAGAACAAAAAGCTGGAGTTCTTAGGCTATCTCATAAAGGTCTACGTCATCTGACCACGTTCCCTCATATTTTTCCCACCTCATACGGCAGAAGTTTCCCCTCACTCACACGCTCTAGCCACACTCACCTCTCTGTTCTTCTTTTCACACAACAAGCCTGTCCCTGCCACAGGCCTTTACACATGCAGTTTCCTCTGCTTGAAATCCTCCTTCCCTGGTTAGCTACAGGGGCGAGCTTAATCCCTTTTTCCAGGTTTCTGCTCAAATGCCTACCAAAGGGGCTTCTCTCTAAACGGGCACACAATGCTAATCTGCATGCTCTTTTAGAGAAAACCCCTCTTGGTAGACATCTGAGAACCCCGTTCTCTAACCCTCTTGACCAGTTTCACCTTTGTTGCCTCAGCACATCTCACCCCTGATGACTTATTTTATATGTATTTGTTCATTGTCTGCCTCCCTTCACCAGAATGCATGCTCCAGGGAAGGAAGAATCTTTTCTTCTCTCCACTTCTATATTCCCAGTGCAAGAAATAGTACCCTGTCTGTTGCAGGAGCTTGATATATATTCAGTGACTAAATAAATAAACTGATTGAAAAGTGAACATTTTAGTTTGTCAAAAGAATTATTTTTTTCCCTCTGTAGATTTGATCAGTTATTTTATTTAGCCTTAGTCACTTTTAGATGCAACATTTTTACAATATTTATTTCAAGGGAATTATATGGATAATTTGCATCAGTAAAAATTATCCAAAATATTAGTCACACAAGTTTTCAACAAAATTCTAAAAGACTATTTTACTCCCTCCCCATTTCACCACACCCAATTTTTGCTTGAGCCCGTGGTCCCCAGAAGCATTAGCCTGAGAAACAGTCTTTTCGAGTTACCCTCAGCACCGAAAAACTGCTGAGTCTATGGATCAAATTGATTGGCCACAGGTGGTCACAATGTTGGACAAAAAATGAACATTTTTAAACACTGTGGTAACTGCTTAGAGTAATACTGCCTGTTTGAAATGCCACCGCAGCTGATTAATGCAGCTCAAGAATTCTCACTGTTGATAAATACAAGAGATGGTGAAAGTCTGAGAGTTAGGTAAAGGGACCAGTATTAAAACAGCTTTGGAAAAATACACTGCAATACACAGCTCCCATTCATCCGTTGCAGTGAAAAACTGTATCAGCGCTCAAAGTGACTCCTCTCACTAACTTTCCACCCCACTCAATTTAATTTAACTGGATTTAGGTTTAAATGCTTTATACTCTGAATTCAACTGTCTTTGAGCTTTTTAAAGAGTAATGACATTGATAGTTGAACCTATGGACCATGTTGCATGTTTTCTCATGTTATTTGTTGGACTGAAGCTTGCAATGAAAAGCAACTATTAAAAAAAAATGTGTGTGGAGATTAGAGTCCACATTTTGAAATGTCAGTAAATACAGTATTTATATGACAGATCATAATGACTTGTAAAAGGCAGCCATATGTGTATCAAGCTCTCAGTCTTCCTAATGTTTTTTCTTAAAAAGAATATTTTATTTTTAAATCTGAAGAACACGACACTAAATGAAAACTATCTTCCAATTTTTCTGAGGAATTTGGAGTATGATCAGAGGTCCTCAGCCCCTGGACTTATCCTTTTCAAAGAGAAACCGGGCAGACATGTCCAGCTTGTGCACTCCTGTCATATCACAACATTTAGAGCAATAGATTTTAAAAAAGGAAATCAAGGATAGAACATTAGAGTCAGCTCCTCAGTCTTTAATGTACTGTTTCACTACTTAACTGTGCCTAAAGGTAGTTTGCTGGTGTACTTTTACAAATAGCACCATTAACAGAATTTTACATGCTTAGGTCACTTTACTTTGATCCCAGAGAAGTCTTAAAACATTGTACGAATAACACACTGGAGGCTACATCCCTGAAAGCCACTTCTGGGGAGGAGAGGTGGTCCCTGACATAGCAACAGAACATGCGGGACAGTTTCAAACAAAGAACAAAGGCAAACGAGGGTCCTTCTGAAAACCGCCAAGGATGTTAAGTGTTTTCAGAGAGTGAAATCAAATACAACAGCATAAGGCCAGTGGAGAATTTTTCTAGGAGATAGAACCTCTGCTTAAAGTGATTAAGTACTTACTGGTCATCATAGACCTCCAAATTTCACGTTCCCACATATATAAAGTGAATCTCCAAATGCACTGAAATTATATCTCAGGCATAAGCTTTCTTTTGTTCTCATGCCAGTTTGTAAGAGATCTTTACATGAACAAAAGCTTCTGTCTTTACAATAACCATCTTTCTTTAGAAAAGGCATGCAATATACTTTTGGGATGCCAAATCGCACAATAGAGAAAACCAAATAATTCCAGTGAGGTTTGATGAGCCCTCAGCAAATCCTACAACAATTCTAGTCACCTGTCAATCAGGAAGTAGCTCATAAAGAATTGCGTGGCATTGCTACGGTCTATTACCTGTGATATTCCTTTTGGTTCACTTGAGATTTTTAAAAAAATGTATAATGAATGCATTCAATAATTGTTTGAATTGCTGCTGTGCATCTGTCATAAATGGTTTATGGATAACCATCAATTGGTTCTGCTCATCAGTCTAACAAGTTCAATGTACTACTCAGAGCAAAGGATGACTATTTATTTAACAGCTCTTGGCAGGAAAATTTGTTGCATGCCACAACTTTACAAAGAACATTAAAATCAATGACAATTTATAAACCAAAGGCTGGGAATTATGCTTTGGATTCCCATAATTCATCAGAATAAAGCTGTCAGATACCTTTTATTATAAATTAATAGCATGTTGTCTAAGAGCACCACGGCACAGATGTTTTGTCAGTTCAGTACTGACATCTAGTGGACAATGAAAACTATTTCCCCATCTTTTCCCAGCTCGATTTTCCTTCTTTCCCAAAAGATGTATGTTGTTGCTTCTTTAGTCAGATTTTTATCGTGCAAGAAAATATATTTGAGTTGAAGTTTTGCGTATTTGTATTCGAGCTAAAAAATGTGTCACAAGTTTGAACTTTTACTAATAAACATTGGCAACATGTGCTTA